AAAATGATATCTCCCACTATGGTCGTCATCTTCTGTTGGGTCAAAAAATATACGATTGATTCTTGTTTTTAGAATGGGTTCTATCACTTGGTAATAATCCCTTACAATCGCTCTCTCTCGAGCACAGAGGAAGAGAATGTTAATTTGACTTCTCTTTTGTTTAACATGGGCTCTGTGTAGTGAAAGGATGTCTCACTCGATGCTTAGCACGTTTGCTTCTCGTTGACGATCAGATCAAGATCGCTTGGATTCAAAGAGAACTTAGCCTCTTAACGAGTGCTTAAGCCGCTGCTGGTGGCAGATCTTAGCTTCTAACGTGTGTGGTTCGAATGCTCAAGGTGCTCTCTCAGCACGAATGCTCCCCTTGCTAGATGATGGCTTCTTCATAGCTACTTGCAGCTATTTATAAGCCTTTTAGCACATAACTTACGTGCTAAAATCGTGGGTAGAGGGCGTAACTACCTCCTACGATTTAGCCCTCGTGGGCTGACATGGTCCTCGTGGCCGTTAGCCTCTTGATTCGGGGCTTCAACAAATAGGACAAACCTCCAAGCTTGGTGAGATTCGCCGGCTGAGATTAGGAGCGTAACTAACTCTTTAAATTTAGCCCACGTGGGCTGGCTGAGTCTTCAAGACTGTTATAGCCGAACTTCCTTTTGTAGGACGAGCCTCCAATGATGAACTTTGAACCTCGTTTCCAACGATGAGATTCGTCTTTAATGATGGTTTTGTCTCGAGCTTCGGACAAGTTTTGTTGTCTGAGATGAGATTCGTCTTTTCAATGACCCTCGACATACCTGTTGTGAGCTTCGTTGTTTTTTGGCATTTTTTAGTGCCTACAAGGCCAAATGATTAGCCAATCATAATGATCTATGAAGATCAATGAGAATGGAGGAGAAATAGGCTTTTGACTAGCCTCTGAGTCTCTCTCTCTCTCTTTTCTCCATGGCAAAGACCTTTCCTCTTCCTATCCCCCTTTGCTTCATGCTGACCATGCCTATTTATAAGCTTGGGAGCATTATGGAGTGAGTTAGTGGGCTTTAACTCCCCTTAAAATGAGGAAGTTAATGGTCATTAACTCCTATTTAAATAGGTGAGTTAGTAATCATTAATTTTCCTTAAATGAGTGAGTTAGTGACCATTAACTCTCCTTAAATGAGTGAGTTAGTGGTCATTAACTGCTTCCTTAAAAGTAGCCTCTGGAAACTGTGCCAGACGAGGTTCGTCAATAACGGCTATGCACGAGGTTCGCTAGTAATGGCCATGGGCGAGGTTCGTCTGTGGATGAACTTCGTCTCTTGAATGGACTTCATTGGCTGAGATGAGATTCATCATGATGACGAGCCTCGCCATGCTTAATGTGAGCTTCGACGCTCCTTTGTTTCTTGGCATTTTTTAGTGCCTACAAGGTCGAATTTGGTTGACCAAAATACGTAAACCTCGATATTTTTCATCTTGATTGTAAGAATTTTTATCTTGTAAATTGTTGATTGTCTTTCGAGTTGTACAGATCGTAGTAGGCAATGACAAAAAAATCCCCAAAAAGTGATATCAGAGTCATGGTGATGGATATGGGGGTTAGTTTGTAAGATAGAGGCCGTCGTTGTATGCAAGTGAAGATCGACGGATGTACAAGAATCAAGATAAGGGAAAAAAAACAGGGTTGGTGATTGTCAGCGGGATGATCGTCGGAGACCGTCTGCAGGAGGGGTCCTATCGGCGGTGAGTAGAGTTGTACGCCTGAGTCGGTGGAGACTGGCCTTTCGCGGCGGTGTGGATTCTTGAAGAAGGAAATTTGTGATTAAAAAAGAAAAAGAAAAAAGCTACTATAGCATGGGGCCGCCAGATTTTTTAGGGTAAGGCAAGTCAAGTGGGAGTTAAGCACCATGGTTCTGGGTGATTTTTGTGACCAAGTGATCTAATGTGGAGTTTCTTGGTGTTTGTTGCGTTGTGTGCTTGATTTGTTTTAAATCAGATCCAACGACTGAGATTGAATGATGTGCAGGTGAATCAGAGGCAGAAGTTAACAATCTATGAGTCGATTCCTAGATTTCTGAATACTCTGAAGGCGAAGAAGTCTCTAATTTACAAGATTATGCTCGTATTTGTCAAAAAGTACAGAAAAGTTCTAACAATGGTGGCAAGTCAATTTTGATGGCAGATAGGATGAACGTGTATGAGACGGATGAGACTCGTGTAGGTAACCAAACATGATTCTAGCAGTGGAGTTGTCAGCATGCAATTATTTAGAGACATCGAGGAGCAAAAGTTGGTTGGGGTGTAGCCCCGATGAGGATAGTGCTCGACTAGGTGGAGCTTGTTGGCAAGACCGAGTGACACATATGGGATGGAGATAGTGGCATTGGACTACGCGAGGTGTAGGAACTAAGCGTTCGTGTTCGATCTAAGTCAGGTGATGCATGAGATGAAGGCATCCCAGTTTGTATGATGCGTAGGATAGTGCACCAATACGGTTCAAGATGAGCGATGCAATCGGACTATGAGGATAGCAAGCAAGAGAAAGCTACTATCAGGTTCAGTTCAGTAGGAGAAGCAAGATTGACTGGCTTCTGTTGTTAGAGGTGGCAAAGATTTCTTGGTGCGCACAAGAGAGGTGGAGGTGCCACGACAAGATAGTTGACATAGAGAGTTGCAGGGCATCCAGGTTGGAGTGCGGGTGTTCCAGTTAGGAGTATGAAAACTTCAGTTGAAGCACAAAAGGAATAGAAGATAATAGCGTGAGAGGTGGAAAAGATCTCTTGGTGCATACAAGAGAGGTGGAGGAGCCACGCCAAGGCAGGTGAGAGAGCTACAGGGCATCTAGGTTAGAGTGCGGATGTTTTGGTTAGAAGTGTGAAAACTTCAGTTGAAGAGCAAAAGGAATAGAAGACACTAGCGGGAGAGGCAAAGTTTCAAGACAGCAACGGTAGATCTTCGAAGCTACTTGGAATCAAATCTGAGGTGGATATTGTTGAGATTGTGTCTTTGATTCGTTGTATAACTTGATAAAATATAGATAGGATTAGAGCTCTATCATGATTAGGAGATTGGTTCTCATCATGATAAGAAGTATGAATCCTATTCTAATTAGGAAGTTAGGCTAGAGATAGAGTTTTGGTTTCTCTATATATAGTCTTCTGTTGTTAGAGGAAAAACCAAGGAGAAGGGGGCCTCTATTCTCGGATTTAAGAATATTGTTATACAAGTGGCGAGGATTTTGTACTCTTTGTCCATGTAAAAGATTACAACATTGGCAAGAGTTTCATAGACTGTGTCCGTGAAAAAGATTTATAATATTAGGAGTCAGTTTCACAGTCTTTGTCCGTCTAAAAGATTGTAAGGAGAGAGCTTTGGAGAGAATATGAAAGTTGATTATTTATTTGAGGTTGAGAGATTGAGTATCGACAGTTGAGTGGTTCCTCTTGTAGTTCTTTCTGATACATAGTGGATTTCTAATAGTGTTGTCCCGTGGATGTAGGTCGAAGTTGATCGATCGAACCACGTAAATCTCGTTATTCTTCATCTTGATTGTGAGCATTTTTATCTTATGGACTGTTTATTGGCTTTCGAGTTGTGCAGATCATAGTAGGTGGGGACTTAAAATCCCCAACATAGAGCAGATCACAGACTGTGAGAGCTACCAACATGTATAATGGGTAAAAAATATTTTTTCCTAGGGATTGATAAATTCTGTAGTATTTTGAATTAGTCCCCATTTTGAAGTTACTCTCACAAATTAGCCAGAGAATCAGCATTGTTTTGTGCCCTTGAATCATGAGATCATAGTCTAAAAAGCACCCAAGTTTTATCATGTTTTTCTAATAGGCTCACAACTTTCCATTTTAAACAATAAAACTTCTTCCTTTTTACCCCTCTGTGCTAAGAAGCTCCCAACGTTCTTTCTTTAACAAGGAAGTCTCATTACTTTTACACATCTTTTCTAAAAAGCCCTCAAATATCCTCAATAAGTTAGGGATTTTATTAACAAAAACGGAAAGCTGAGGGCTTCTTAGAGGAGAGGGAGTGAAAATTAGAGGCTTCACTCTCAATTCTTAAGATGGTATCAATCGTTGATTATGGACTCCAGTCGAAGGGGGGGGAACATGATTTCAAAATGCTTTAAAATTAGTCCTACAAATATCTCAACCTGTTGCTAACTAGAGGAACTAATTTCAACACTTAAAAGTATTTGTAAAATAGTTTCTATATGAAGATCTGAGAGACTAATTTCAAAATAGTTAAGGATTTGGGGGAACTGCTTTCAAATTATGAAAGATTAGCTAAAAGAAATTGGGGGCACTATTTTCAAATTATGAAAGACACGTTAAAAGAAAAAAGTCCCAACGGGATTTGAACTCGGTGACCGTATTCAGCGTCCGATGACCTAATTGTTAGACCGTGGAAGCGTGGGGTGGTACTTCAAGTTTTTTTTTTTTATTTATTTACTTAACTAATAATTAAGGTAGAAGCTATTAAGAAATAAATCCAAACCTACTCAAAAAGTACAGGCCCTATGGCATGAAAAACAAGGATTTGTCCACTCATCCAAATGTTATCATGTACATCACAGCTTATGATATAAATAAAGGGTTTTCCCCTAGAAAGGTCAATTTATGTAAACCACATTATATCTCTAGTTTATATCTAAATCATCTACAAAATTAGTTTTTTTTTTCTTTCAATCAACCACCTGGCCTTACTTTATACTAAATCTTTCTGAATTTTCAACAACACCCTCATCAATCTCTCGTGGAAAGCTTGCAGAGCATCAACAAGAAACGTCACGTGCTTTTACATTGTGGGAGGGTATTGTTAGTATTTCAGGAAGATTTTAGTAGTAAAAGTGGGGTCAGCTTGTTGATTAGGGGAGAAAAACTAGCTTTGTAGATGACTTAGGTATAAATTGAAAATATAATGTGGTTTACGTAAATTGACTCCTAATATAATTTGGTTTCTAGGAAAACCCCTAAATAAAAAGCAGTAATTCTCCAGCAACTTCGACAACAAACAATGCACACAGACGCTTTTTCACCCATATCATAACGAGTTAAAACTCATACCAAAGCATCTCAAATCCATAGAGTTACGCGATGCTCAACACAATTAAACAATTACGAACCGTCAAAACGTTGAAACTTCTTCAAGGGAGACGATACAAGTTACGGTGAAGCTATAGGAAACCCTGACTGAGAGTCTGGAACCATCTCCCCTAGTTTGATGTGGAGAGAATACGAAAGCAAGAGTTGTGCGTGTGGCTTCATTGAACACGATCAGGGCTGACAGTGGACGTAAACTGCTCTCAGCGTCCAAGCCTTCCTGAAACTGACTTCGGTATGAGACTGACTGCACTTGACTTCTCTGACCTGCACGAGAGACCCAAATCCTGTTAGTCCTAATTAAGAGTTTGGCCATCAATCTTTACTATTGCTCATCTCCACCAACATCTACCTAAAAAACAGTTTTTTGTTTTTTTTAATTCGGTTTTGGTTTTTTTTTTTTTTGGATGGGTGGGTGGGGGGGAGGGGGGGGGTGGGTGGGGATTTGAGGGACATACCTTGCCATCTCATCAACAGCCTTCATAACTTCTTCTGAGCTAGTTTCAAGCACTTGACCAGCAAGAATAATCTCATCTAGTATAGCGTGCATCTGCAAAAAGCAATTCAGAGTAAGAACCTCTAGAGGAAGCAATAAACCTCTATATCACTTCTGCTGTAGTATAAAATTAGAATATGATCGCTTTCCATGGATGCCAAGGAGCTAAAAGAAACATTAGTATATTGAAGTGTATCTATGACACTAAGGTGGGCAAGCGAGCAATGACTACATAAGCTGAGCTGAGGGTATTGCAACTGTTGAACTGAAGCACACATTGGTAGGTGATCGAATATGTGTAAGGTAAGCTAAAGCGGCAAGGAAAAAAGTTGTCGCAAAACGAAGCTATGTTCGTGATTTGACAGTAAGGCTGGCCATGGAAGCATATGGAGAGAGCTTCATGGTTATGGACCTTATGGGTGCCAAGATAGCAAGGTGAAGGCAACATAGAGCAATCAAGGAGAGTGGCAAGAAAAGAAGACTTGGTTCCACAATGAATAACAGATTAGATTCTTCATAGCATAGTATAGTTCTTTCCAAATTACTTCTTTCACTTCTAAATCACACATAAGTTCATAACCTCACTTGTTCCTCACTCGACATCTATATTCTTCTACACACACACCAGGGGGGGAAAAGCCAAAAAACAAAGCACACAATTCTTTCACTTTCCAATTACAGGTCTAGCCTACTGCAAGGCTGCATCATTGTGTTTAGATACCAACTAAACGAATGAAATCTTTATTTGCGCAAGAGTTAAATTAAACTAATTCTGAACTTCATGAAATCAAAAGGAGACGGAATTCCCCAAAGGGTGCATTTCCCTAATTCACTTATGTGTTCAGATTAAGAGATAAGTCAGAATTCCCTAGTAAATTCTGTTCTGAGCTATGAAGCACATGTACTTCTTTACGGTTCCCCTACATGTGTGATGTATCGATGTATCTCAGAAAAGGAGTCTCCATGGATACGGCGTACAGACCAGGCTAGACATGCACAATTATACCTAGACTTTTGATTTTTAGGTGTAGACTTTGAATATATAGTTTTGAGATCTAAATTGGTTTCAGATAAAACCAAATGTGACTAGATTGGAACTACTTTGAGTTGACTTATTCATCTTGGGACTTGTGAGACAAAAGTTGCTTTTGTAATTAGTGAGCAGATGTTTTGCATGCATCAGCTGATACCCACAAGAATCTCGTATATGGTACATATGTATGCAGCTCACAATTCCCTTCCGCTCCTGTTATTGTGTACTTATCAGGTGATGTCAAAGGACTAGATTGTTGCAGCTATGGGGATAAGAAAAAGGCAAATAATCATTTCAGGCTACATGTGGGTAATTAGTTTGATTGTGAGAATAATATGATATCTTGAAAATGAAGAAGGAAAATTTCAGCGACTTATGAACCTAATTTGTCCCATTGAACTTATGACATTTAAGCCAGTAAGACCCATATGATACCAGTATCGCTTTTTTCTCAAAAAGATATCTATTTCTTTCCAAATTTGACTATGGAAGAGCCTATAGATGACACAAACATATCCTCTATAACAATTTCTCACTTTGCTTTCATGTTTCCCGTTCTCTGTTTGACCGAAGGCATGCCATTCTTGCCTTTAGCACTGAAAAGCATTTACTTACCTTCATTTATATTCTGTTGTCTGACCGTGTTTTCATCTTTAAGCACCAAACTTAAGGTTAGTACAAGCATATTACAAGTGGTAAAATTAGATTACAGTCATAGAAAGATGACAAATACATTCATGGTTCATAATATAACAATCATAAGAACACATAGAGTTCAATTGCAAATACCTTGTTGAAATTGTACACAACATCTAACTCACAAACATTCTTGAAGCATCGATCCAATGTTTCCACAAAAACTGAGAAACATGCTATGAATTAGAACTGATATAACTATAATAGTTCAAGAAAAGGCTTAACTTTCTGCAGTAATATTTCATAATATAAATGCTTAAGCTTCACGTTATAGAGAAGCTGTCCAGTCTATACTCGATTCTCTCCTTAATTATAGCGAAAGAGTTCACACTTTACCTTGTATAAGATCAAGCATTGCTAATTCATTTTCTGAACTATCAAATACAATTACAAAATATAGTGTCGCAAAATGCTTGTATACAAGCTTGATGTCCTACAAAAAGAAGACGAAGAACAAAATAACTACGTTAAATAACAAATAAAAGCAACAAAAAGAAAAAAAACAATTTGAGACTAAATAATTAGCTTAACATTAGAATCCAAGTAGTAAACAAGAAAGATAATGAAGAACTCTTACAGGGCCAAAGATTTCATCAACACGGACAAAATTACTGACATTTTCCGGCCTCTCACTAAGAACTGCAAGAGAATAGATCCAATTATAAACCCTAATTCTCCAAAAATGGGAATAAACAGTAATTTTCAATATAGAGACCTCCATAGACGCTGCGAATTAGCTCTTGTTGCTTCTCAGGGGGCTGTGTTTTAGAGGGAAAAAACGGTTTAGTTTAAATAAAACCCTACTTTATGAGAAAAAAAAGAGGAATTAGATGACCTTGAACTCATAGAATCTGATGAAGCGAGGTTTGCCTTGGGTGTTGAGTATGATCACCGCCCGAATCATTTTTAGCTAAATTCGTCCGCCGGATCCCACAAATTTCTTTTAAAAAAATGATATTATTCTTTTTTTATTCGTGTTAGAGACCTCTTGCCTTTTATGGGTACAAACACGCTACTCTCTTCTCATTTTCCTCCACTGCTATCGCCACAATCGTTGCCAATACTTTTGAGCAAAATGCAAGCCCACAACACCTGACAAATGAGCTCACTGGAGGTGTTCCTATTTTACTTCAAACTCTAGAAAATATAGTCTGAAAAAAGGAGAAAAAGAAGGTTTTAGTGTTAATTGAGGATGGATAAAAATTATATTAACTAATTTATTAATCGTGCCACTTAAACTGAGTTTGGATAGAGTTTTTCAGGAGGGGGAGGGGGAGGAGGTTTACAATGCTAACCCTCCTAACATTGTGTTTGTTTACACTTTTTTGTTAGCAAGAGCAGTGAATGGGAGGGGAGGGATAAAAATTAGAAAATCCAACCACTTTCTCAACTTTCTGAAAGTGGACGCATTGGGAGGGAAGGGGTTTCAAGTAGAATTTTTTTGAAATTCCAATATTGCCCTATATGAGAAAATTAAAAGGCGTTCTTTCTTATTTTATTAAAAGGGCATACTAATCAAGTAGCTCCCCTTCCCTTTCCATCCCCTATTCTAAACAAACACATATTATAGTGTCCCCTCTCATTCCCTTGTTGTCTATTCAAATACAAATGAATACATTCCACCCTTTTCCTTTCCACTCCCTCTCCTTAGGTTAAGTCAATCACTCCCCTCCCCTCCTTTGTATCTCTTTTTCATCCATAGACCTATAACTTAGCCACTTAGTCGTTCTCGTCCACATACTGATGACTCTTTTGCTTTATATAATACAGGAGCCCTCAAATTAAGTATACTCTTTTGAAGAGAAAGAAAGCAGCTAGTTCAGCGCGTCAAATATAGGATATTGTTATATAATTACATTTAGTTAAATATGTTTTTTCAATATGAGTCCATTAAATTTCTCATATTTTGAGCAAGTCCCTCAAATCATTGTTTAGAAATTAGTCCCTTCAATCAAGAGTAGTTGTAGGAAATAGAGGGATTAATTTGAAACTATTTAAGTCTTTAAGCTTGGGGGACCTAATAGCAATTTCAGTGAGTTGAGGGGGTAATGTCAAAACATAAAAAATTTAATAAGCTAATATGAAACAACATATATAGAGGGTGTTTGGGTGGGTTTTTTTTTTGGTCAAATAAACTTATAAGCTAATTTTTCATATCTATCTGTTTGGTAACAAACTAAATAAGTTAGCTTATAAATTCCATCTTAAAAAGCCGATATCCCCCAGCTTTTAAAAAATTAACTTATAAGTTCCTCAAAATAAGCTAAACTTTGACCAAGCTAATTACCATAGTATCCATCCTAATTTAACAAAATTACTGCTTATCCCACATAACAATCTCATGCTCACAATTCTTTTCATCTTCTTTTCCTGTCAAGCCCTAGCATTCCAACTCCCTGAATCTTCGACGCCTCTGTTTGATTTGTGACGGCTCCGCTTGGTCTCCGACACTTTTGCTTGCTTGATCTCCGACACTTCCTCAAACGAGCAGTACAATCCCTCTTTCTCTCTCTCCTTATTTATATGCGATATTTTCTTCCCACTAAAATCTGATTGATGATGTCTCCCAACCAATCTCCTGCTCACGATACTTTTCATTTTCTTTAATTATATGATAACTTATAGTTTAACTTTTAAGGAATTTACATTGGACACGATCACTTACAGTTTAGTTATTTTGATTTTTTTAAATGCACGATGCTATAGTTTGCTAATTACTTGAACACATTGTGCCTCTAATTTATATGTTAAACAATAAGCATCTATGTTGAACATGTTCCCCCAAAACTTTGATTCTTTCACATGCTATTTACTAGATTCAGTGGGTAAAGAATTATACCAAGCACATACTATTTGAGGAGGATAGATCCTATTAGAATATTTAATTTGAGAAAGAGAAGTTGTTCTACAACAATTCATTTGAAGTCATCTAAATTGAAAATAAAAATATAGAAGACAATTTAAATTTAAGCCTTGTAAATCCTATGCTCGTAATATTTGTAGCTGCTGAATCCTTATTCTAGGTTTTTTATCTTGAACTTAACTTCACTAGTGTAATACAAATTAAATAGTTTGTATCTATAATGTTTCCAGAAAATATATGTTCTTGTCTTGAAAAGAGAGTATATGATAATATCATAAATTTTGGGTGTTAATATTGTATATTTTTAGTTATTAAGTTGTTTCATGGTATAGATGGATGCCGGCACAAATACGACAAACATTATTAGGACTAAGAGAAAAAACACTAACACCAGTGCTAAGGGCATTGTTTTAAATATCCCCGACATGACCCAATATATCCTTTTGCAGGGCTTGCCGTAACCGATATAGTCTCTAAATATTTCTTACCATTTTTTAGCTATTTTGGACGATATATCTCTGATATGGCTGATATATTAGCCAATATATTGACTGATATATCCATTTATATGGCTTGTCGTAAGACAAATACGACAAACATTATTGGGAAAATACACTAACACCAGTGCTAAGGGCATTGTTTTAAAAATCTCTGATATAGCCCGATATATTCGTTTGTAGGGCTTGCAGCAACCGATATGGTCTCTAAATATCGCTTACCACTTTTAGCTATTTTGGGCGATACATCCTCGATATGGCTGATATATCAACCGATATATTGACTGATATATCCATTTATATGGAACAAACATTATTGGGAAAATACACTAACACCAGTGCTAAGGGCATTGTTTTAAAAATCCCTGATATGGTCTGATATATTCGTTTGCAGGGCTTGCCCCAACCGATATGGTCTCTAAATATCGCTTACCACTTTTAGCTATTTTGGGCGATACATCCTCAATATGGCTGATATATCAGCCGATATGTTGACTGATATATTCTTTTATATGGCTTGTCACAAGATAATAAACGGATTTTCCCATTATATCAAATGACATTTTGACCTAAAAAAATCAAATGAAATGTTGCAACATTGATTTGTACTTTTATTTGTTTCACAAGGTTGATTAGTGAGCCTTAACAAATATTATTCACATTTTGTATGCATGGATTTTCATTATAATATTTAAATTCTTGTTAGTTTGTATTGTTTACAATATAAATATTTCTTATAATATTTATTTTTATTTTACAACAGGTTGATGAAAGGTTCAAGAAGTTCAAAAATAAGACTTGTCACTCTTATGGTTCCGTTATGATAATTTGTTTTCTGATATTGATGCCACTGGTGCGATGAGTCGTGCACCATGCCAACCTTTGTCTCTACTCAAGGTTCTGGCACTCTATTGGACGTGGAGAATGAGGATAATGAGGTGGATGAAGATACTTAAGCAGATTTGGAGGGATTTGATGACAGTGATGTAGCTTCGCTACTGTTTTAAAAAGCCTCCGCCTAGTTCGCCCAGGCATACACCTAGACCTAGACGGTACTTAGGCCGTCTAATTAGCGCCTAGCGCCTAGGCAATACCTAGGCTACCCATCTAGGTTTTTAGAATGTTTAGGGGAGTATTGTCTATTTACATAGATTGCACCATTTAGGCCTTGATCATTATTTTGTCTGTTGTAGCCTCCATGTTCTCCAACCTCCTTCAAACTCCTTTAACTTTCAAATATGAACACCTCCACTACCTCCTCCAACCTTTAGCAAAACCTCTTCGACCACCACTTAAATAAAGAAATAAATCCGCCTAAACACCAGTCTGATACCTAAGCTTTCTATAACATTGATATTTACTATCAATTATTATAATTAAAAAATAAAAAAAGAAAACCTCCTAGGCTCTAGGCGTCGGGTCCAACGCCTAGGCCTCTAGCACTTTCTATAATATTGTTTGTTATTATTTTGGCTATTTAGTATTTAAGTATGCATAATTTATTATGGATCTAAGATTGTTATCTTTTTTTTATAAATTTATATGAATTTAATACATATTTTTATCAATTATAATAATTAAATAATTTTTAAAATAGGCAAATGCCTAGGCGCTAGCTCAAACGCCTAGTCCGCCTAATGCCTTTTGTAACATTGAGCTCAGCATAGTGATGACAACCGCATGTTCCCACCATCTGTATTAGTAGGGAGATCATATGGAGGAAGAAAGAGTAGCGCAAAGAAAAGCAAGTCTAGTGCTGCCTCACTTAAAGAGGATATCCACAATCGTATACAAGTAATCTCCAACAAAAACACAGCTACTTCCTCTTATACTGCAACATCGGGACCTACCATTAGGCAATGCTTGGATAAGTTAAGGAATCTAAAAGGGCTTTCTCCTAGAAGTGAGATATGGAACTTTGCCCTTAATTTCATTAGTAACAAGGAGAACAGAGAAATATTCATGGAATTAGGAGATGATGAGAACCGACAATCTTGATTAGAGTATAACTACGACATTGTCGGACAAAAGAAGCCTTAATAATTTACAAACTTGTACTGTCAGGTTTGCTCTACTATGGCTCTACTTATGACATGTTAGCTATGGGTATTTTATGTTAGTGAAGTCATTAATCATGTCACAACTTTGTGTTGTTTTTACTTTTGAGTATGTTGTTTCAATTATGGATACTGTTGTGTTATGTCATGTTTCTTTTAAGTATGATGCCTTAAACTTGGATATGCTATTTTATTTTGGATTTGTTTTATCTGTGTTAGACACAATTGTTATTTAGCCTTTAATCTAATTCAATATGTAGATGTCAGTCAATCTTAAACACGCATGCTACAAATGCCTTTCACGACCATGACTTATATTTTCCCCCTTCTTGCAGTTTTAATGGAACACCAGAACCAAAGAAGTGATGATGATAATGAGGAAAATGAATCAAGTTTGCAATAGGTGGAAGACAGCGATCTTGAATGGTTAGCTTTGAGTCAAATTATTGCAGCAACGATATTAACTGATTATGAAAAGTACATATATAAGGTTCCATGTCGTACATCTACTCGCACCGGCCATCTATTGATTTCTGAAATATTAGAAGGCAATGAAATGCATTGTTATCAAGATTTTCCTTTTAAAAAGTCAGTTTTTCTAGATTTGTGTCAAAATTTAACTGAAAGATATGGTCTAGTGCCAACTAAGAGAATGACCATCTATGAGGAGGTTGGTATGTTCTTAATGACTTGTGGATATGGCATTGGAAATCATTTGATGCAATAAATGTTCAACCATTCTGCTGAGACAATTTCTCGGAATTTTCATAGAGTTTTGCAAGCTTTGGGTGGACTCATTACTGATATTATTAAGCCTAATCCTAATTATAATAATGGGGTAGGAGGTACATCCCTTTCTTCAAGGTAAGTGTAACAACTTAATTATGTATTTTTCTTTAAATATTTAAGTAACAATACATTTATATAGTGACCTATGTATTCTTTCTTAATAGGATTGCATTGGAGCAATTGATGGAACTCATGTGAAAGCTCGGTTACCGCGGGGTCAAGAGATACCATTCTTCGGACGCAAGGAATATACAACGTAGAATATTCTTGCTGTGGTGGATTTTAATATGTGTTTTACATTTGCATGGGCAAGTTGGGAGGGAGCTGCTCATGACAATAGGATATTTGGCGAGGCCATTCGTAGACCAGAACTTAACTTTCCTCATCCCCATGGAGACAAGTACTATCTTATAGATGCAGGATACTCACACAAAAAAGGATAAATGGGCCCATACAAAGGTGACAACATAAGATATCATCTTGAAGATTTTCGTCGTGCTCGTACGTCGTGATTCCACGCTCCTAGGGGTTATAAGGAGATGTTCAATTACTTGCACTCCTCCTGTAGGAATATTGTTGAACGCACATTTGGAGTGTGGAAGGCCCATTTTAAAATTCTTGATTACACGCCTTATTATTCTTTTGAAACGTAAAGAGAGATCATGCTTGCTACTATGGCAATCCACAATTATATAAGAAAGAAGGGCATTGGAGATAATGCATTTCTAATAGTTGAGAGTGAGAATTATGTTCTCTCCGCACGTGAAGCACCTGATACATCCAGACTAACTTATGCAGAAATGAAGCTGAGCAGAGTGATTTACGTTGGACCGCAGTTCAAGATGCTATTGCAGAGGATATTTGGAACAATGCATGAATATTATAATTTACTGTCCATTTATATCTGGAGAACTATAGTGACATTATTGCAAATTTTTGATCTATTGAAGACAATTTATCTGCACTCTTAGAAACAAAAACGAAATTCTCAAGTACATCTTAGTTGCAAAAGCAGCAAAACCCTTGCTTGCTAGTAATATATCAAATGTATCGCATTGCTATTAGGATGCATATACAAATGCCTTAAAAATCCCATATGAAATCAAAGATAAATTTCAGGCTTCTTGCTGACAAAAATTAAATGACTTTTTAAGATTTTTTTTTTGTGAACCAAGTCTGATGCTATGCCTATGTTCTCATCAAACTACCTTTTGTTTTTTTAAAAGAAACTAATGATTGCAATTGCATAGAACATATTTACAAATCAAATGCTTTCATGTGCTTCGTTGTATGCTCCATAGAGTTACTATTCATATATGTTTTATTTTTAACAAAATGTGTAACCAAATTCAAAATCTCGAATGAATTTTAAGTTATTTTCATGTTATGCTAAATTAAAAATTAATTTGGATGAGAAATTGCATCAAGATAACAATTTTAGCTTAAAAAATCAGTAGCAGCATGTACCTTTTGGTCATTTTTAAAAAACTACATAGCTTATAAGCTACAACTTACCAAACATGTAGCTGACTTATCAGCTTAGCTTTACCAAACACGTAGTTTGATACGGATCCATGTTTTTAAAAAAATAATAAGGAGACCAAACAGCTATTTTTATTTTGATAAGATTTATATATTAAGATCCACTATAATTGTGTTTGTGTTAGTTACTTTTGATTCCTTCACCACCAGAGAAATTAGAGAAAATTAAAGAAAGGGGAGAAAAGAATCAAAATTAACAATAACTCTATCCCACGGAATAATTACCCAAGTTCAGGACAAAGTTAGAGAAAAGTATAGGGGAAAAAAGATTAGCGAAAAATGAAATTGACACAAATTAGAGAGAGAAAAAAAGTCAAATCCAACTCTAAACACATAGTAATTAGAGCTGAGAGAGAACGAGAAAGGTGGCACCTTTTCACGAAGATCTGAAGGCGATGATTCCCGGTGGCGAATTTTTGCGCGGTGGAGACTTCCGGCGTGATGGAGACGGCGGCGCATGGGCAAGGAGGCCGAGTTTCTTTTATTGAGGAGCGCAAGCTCTGTATCCTTCTTTTATTTTCGCAATGGAGGATAAATTTTCAATTTCGACCTATTTAAAAATTTTATTGCAAAAATCAACCTGTTCTGAAAGTCAAATTTGAAAAAAAAAACTTACGAAACATCACGGGACTTCAAGTCCTGTGATGTTTTAGATGGATTTTCCAGAGAGAAACGCTCTTTGGAAATTCCACCTGCAACTCCACGGGACTTGAAGTCCCGTGGAGTTGCAGGTTTTAAAAAACATGCACCAAACAATATACACACGAAAACAAATTCCCAACAATATACACACATATTTCCCAACAATATACACACAATTTCCCAACAATATGCATAAAAACAATTTCATAACAATACACATGAAATTTTCGCCTCATTCACAACAATATACATGAATCAAACAATACACACGAAAATCACATTTATACTGAATTACAACAATATTCATAAAATTTAGCCATGAATTAAACAATACTCACGAATATCACATATATAAACAATAATAGATCTACAAAAGTAACAAATTTAAACAATCTAACCATATCATTATTGAAATTCACAAAAGTAACAAATTTGAACTTCATATACATCCAAAAAGTCCTCCTCTCCTTCCTATCCCTCTCTTCCCCCTTCCCCTCACTCCTCGATGATCTGAGTATCTGGTTGTGTATGAGGCTGAGAAGTGCCAGCTCCATCAGCATGCATCGTGCTATGAGAAGTGTCGGCTCCATCGTCACACACCATCGTTTAACATGTCCTACTTCGTCGCGTGTACACTTTACCAAATTGGCGTTACTTGTCCTGACGACCTTCAAATTCGTCGACGTGATTTTTATGGAACACGCTCGCTATTCTTTGTTTGATCCTATTGAAGATCCCTAAGACCGTTGGATCCTGAATCTAAGTAATATGCTCATTTATATTAGCCTCAATCTCATCAAAAGCATTGATTTGTGAGTTAATCAATATATACACAACTTAGCATCTTAATAAAAAAGAATTGCCATTTTAATTTAGTTTAAAAACTTACATAATCTCTCTCGATCATAGCACTAGGGATGTAACTATCGATCGGTGGGCGTGGTACGTATCCAGTTGTTGGTTGTAGGTCGCGTCCTATTTATCTGCGTGTGATATATTTCAATACCAACACATGTACTCCATATAACCCTCAATTACAATTCTCTCATCCTGTATGAAATTCCACCTGTCATTCCACTTGTCTATGCAGGCCGCACGGAATATGGTTCAATCCATACGATGTGATGTCATTCGTCGCCTACGATCAATTTTCTCAACAGGATCCAACACATGCTGAGAGAGAAGAAATTACTGCAAGACACGATCTAGGACATGCATCTCTACGATCTCCTAACATATCAACGGGACTTTGGCTCTCCATAAATTAGCGCTATCTCGACAGATAGGTGCAAGAGTATGCATACGAGATCAGGCGGATGATATGGCATCCACTTGAACTGAAATTAAAAAAAAACTTTTATTAGTATCTACAACAAAATTATAATATTCATAATAAATTGATTTTTATATTTATCTGTTGATGTTGGAGGCCATCAAGCTCATTTCGGTAAAACTCTATATGTCTAGTGGTTGTTTTGCATTTACAGTACTTCACATTATACCTATTTGGCATAAAAATATATGAGAACAAATTCGATATGAATAAAATTTATGCAAAATTATACATACATCCCAAAGAAAACTGGCCATGTAGATCGCGACGCACATGCAAAGTAGGTCGTCCAATATGAATGTGCTCCCATGACCAAACTTGCATTAATTTATGCATAAAGAATATATGAGAACGATTGCCAATATGAATAAAATTTATGCATAATTATACATGTATCAATGTCATGCATCCCTTGAATTCTTTATTCTGCATCAAAGACACCCTGCCTAGTTCTCTATAAAGGTATGTCAATACCGCACTACCCCATGATAGAGTGCCGCATATATCAAAATCCTCTAGCAGTGGCAGCCATCGTGCATGTACAAGACTCTTGCTCGCATCAGGAAATAACATGCACCATATCATGTATAATATGTAAACACGGGCATGATATTGAATCATCTCATGCATGGCATCGACTGGTATATCGCCCATAAATGTCGATCAAAGCCACGATAGCTTCATCACACCACTCCTCAAATCAAGAACCTACCCAAGAAGCTGCTCACATACTTCAGGCCAATTGTGGTCATTGGTGCCCGTAATAATCGGGCTATCGATGAGGAGCTCAAGTATGATGGTTACATCCTGAAATGTAATCGTACACTCCCCTATATGCATATGAAAGGTGTTTGTCTCCGATCTCTACCTCTCAATAAGTGCACAGATAAGGGTCTAGTCAAGCCTAATATACCTCACCGAGGAACACTCCCTAAACCTGGCTTGAGCTAGTAACTGTAATACTCGCTTGTCCTCCATCTCCCAGCCCGAGTGACTTTGGAAATGGTCCACTATGGTGATCTCTGGTACAGACTGCAAATTAATAAATAATAATAATATTTATTGATAAAAATTCAAACTAGCGTAAAAATTAAGAAATAGATATAAATCATTTTTTTTACCTGTCCCAAGCCAATCTTGTGTGAACGATGATCTGTCTGAAGGTATAATACGTCGGATTACATCGGTCCCAGATCCATAATGGATATCTCTGAGATTAAAATACAATATATTAGATTTTCTAGTTGAAAGACTCAAATGTATTTTACATATTCAAGATTCAAGATTCAAAGAAAAAGGTTATATATTACAAAACGATTGTCAAATGGGAACAAGGATTATAATTAAAAGGATATATATTACAAAACGATTGTCACATGGGGAATAAGGTTAAAAATAAAATATTATATATTACAAAAACCATAAACAATATATTCCATACAACCATCCCGTGATAATCAACGCCTAAGCCCAGTTGGACAACTGCTTTTATTGTGCCCCGGTTGATCGCATCTACTACACTTTTTTTCCTTCTAATTCCTTCTCGCCCGTCATCCATATTATTTTTAATTCGTATGGAATGAGGTCGCCTAGCAGATCTTTTATATAAAGGAGGTAATATTCGTGACCCGCCTTGTGTCCAATGTCGACTGTCATATGGTGGCCGAAAACACTCTTTGTACATTTGTTGATAATTGTAAGTTGAATACCAATTGACGGCGAATATATAATGTGAAAACCTCACACCACCCTATAGATCCGAGCAAGTTACAATAACATGGGAACAAGGAAGCCATTGTAATTGTGGTATATTGCAAGTGCATGTACAAGTGTGATCCACTAGCATATTAACTTTGTAAGAGCGACTTTCTCTATGAGATATTCCCTCAATAACCTCTCATTTATTAAAATTGTATCTTACGATACAAAATGATCGAGCCTGCACAATCCAATCCACTAATATGCCTTCAACCTTCGGCGCCAACTCTGACGGGATATTTGCACCAAGTGTGTGTCGTCTGAGAAAGAAATTATTAAGCCGTAAAATGTTTTTATAACTAGTGACTATATTAGCATACCGCATGCTCTCCTAAGCACACCATTAAAACCCTCACAAGCATTAGTAGTCATCATACAAAACTGTTTCCCGTCATCTTCACATAAAGCCCACTTATCAACATCGTGCGAATTAAACTAGTTTCGATCCAATTATGTTCAGCTCGTGAAATAAACTTAATCCTCTCCCGTAGTTGCTCATAAACTAATTTTTTTCATGTACAACCAGCTTTCCAAAGAAGATCTTGAAGCTGCACGTGTCCATGCTTCCTCTTGAAGTTTTCCCTAATATGTCGCAAGCAATAATGATGTTGATGTGGCGACGAAAAACGACGTTGGAGTGCTATTGGAATTCCTTTCATCCTATCAGATATGAATGTAATCCACCACATTCTCACACTAGGGATATGATATCTAATGCATGTAAAAAATCATGCCCAATTCTCCGTGTTTTCAACATCAACCACTACAAACGCTAAGGAAATAAACCGTCATCTGTGTCTACTTCAATTGCAACAAGCAAAACGGTTTTATATTTATCATACAAGTGGGTGTCGTCAATACTAAAAAGATGACGACAATATCTGAAACCCTCAATATAAGGCTCAAATACCCAAAATACACCTGTGACCTGTCTATCTCCACCATCAACATTGTCTAATGATACTTCATACACTGTCCCCCGATTTTCTCTTTTGAGTGCTTCAAGATAATGTGGTAAAATCTTATAAGATTTGTCTTAATCTCTGAATAGTTTTATCATCGCCTTCCTCTGAGCATTCTAACACTTGTTGTATGATACATCCAAGTTGGTCGCTTTATGCACTAAAAACGAATATCATTTGGCCTTAGATCAAGATCCTCCCTTAGATTAGGCATAATCAATTGATATATAAAAGAGGCAGATGCGTGCTTATGATTCATCTCTAATTGAGGATTGCTACATATGTAAAGTCCGTTGTAGTGTGTGATTTTAAATTTCTTGCCTACTCTTACACCTAAGCATGAATTAAGTTTTTAAGGACATTTTGTATTGCCGTCGTGGTGCCCAACACTATCTTCTTCTTTGACATCTTTGTGGTAAAAACAAACTACATTATAGCTTACTGTATTACTTTTTGTTTGCCTAAACTTGATATTTTTTGGATGACCCACAAACGAAGCACATGAATCAATTTCTCATTACTTTCAAATAGATCACCCTTTTTGAATGAGAAGTCATTGCCTTGTGTATCATCAACTATATTAGTGCTGATAGGAATGCTTTCCATCGTGGAGTTATCAATCCATTCTTCTCCATGAAGTTCATCAGGCGGTGGATCTCTTAACACGACATACTCATTGTTAGAGTAACATCCGTTAATATATTAGTTGTCCTCTTCATCATGATCTATCAAACACATCATGCTATTAATTTGTAAGTCATTCTCTTCATCATCATCCTTGGATTCGACACTTGCATTATCATCTTTT